TCAACATCTCAGAGTCTCAGTTACTTACTGTGGAAAGTGGGGCACCATGAAGATGTGGCAAGGGAACACGGGGACTGTGCTCAGGGCTGCTCTTGCTGGGCAGCTTTCTCCCCACCACCAGCCCATCCAGGGGAGGTGTTCTGGAAGCCAGGTTCTCCTACTCCTGGACCCCTCTGAATCTGGCCAGAGCTAGTGTCACTCATGATGCCAAGCCTTGACCTTTGTGGACACATGGCCCTGAGTCCCACAAGGAGTGCCGTGGAAAAGGGGCAACGGAGTTTCCTACCGGAGTTTATACAAGTGTTTAAACAAACTCAGCAGAACTTTAATCGGACCATGAAACACACTCAGATCAATGTGCAGTGTCCTGGCCGGAGGAACAGGAGCCTGCATGTGTGCAGTATAGGCACCCTGTTCCGGGGCAGATGCCCAGGAGAGCAGTGGCACTGTGGTGAGCTGAGTGCTGTTCTGATGCTCCATACTACCTGTCACCTGGTACTCTTCTTCCCTCCCTCCCCACTCACAATGAGGGCTCTGAGAAAACTGAAGCCACAAAACCACAGAAGCTCTGGGGCTTGCCTTCCTGGCTCTGATTCCTAGATCCTAACTCCCAGACCCTTACTCAGCACTCCGTCCCCTACTAGATTGAGCTTCGTCAGAGCCAAGCCTGAGGTTGGAGGTCGCTGAGTACCTGGCGGATGGCGAGTGAGTGCACCAAGGGCGGAGAAGGAAGTCTGAGCCTGCTGTCACTAGGTCTCCAGAGAACTCTCCAGCCCCATGGATGCTGGCAGATCCTGAGAAGAAATTCTTCACTGGGAACCTTCATCCCCAAAGCAAAGTCTTCTTGGAGCATAAATACGACATATTTTAAAGATAAGAGAGCTAGTGTGAGAGAGGGAGAGAGGTGGAGGGACCGGCTTCTGGGCAACCAGGCACCGCCAGGGGCAGCAGAGGCCAGGGCTGGCCCTCATGGTCTTGGCTGTGGGCCAAACCAAGGGTAGCCAGCACTTGCTGGGCCAGGGGCTGGGCAGAGGGATCGGCCAAGATTCAACAACTCAGGGTCTCCTCTTACTTAATAAGGACAGGGAGCAGCCTGAGTGTGTCCCCAAATCAAACCTGAGTTCTAAAGACCTGGAGAAACTGTCTACATGTGTCCTACCCCTAGAGGCATGTGCTGTACTTGCCGCCAGCACTTCCCTGATGGCACCCTCTGGCCACAGAGGGGTACCTGGGCCCCTCTTAAAGGAAACAGACCCAAAGAAGCAGGAGTGATTGCAGAGACTGCACAGAGAGTTAGAGCTGGGAGCCTGGGCCAGCTCTAGAGTCTCAGGTAATATGTGCTGGCACCTGGGAAGTGGGGCCACTCAGAAGGCTCAGTCCATGACCTTGTTTTTCAGCCAGCAGTCTGAACTGACCCTGCCTGATCCCCCTCATGCATTAGCTCCATGTAAACAAAACCAGCCTGTGTGCCCCGCCCCACCTTGTTTTGGGGAGGCCCCAGAGAGCTAGACAGGCATTAGAGGAATCAAGTGACACAAGACAATCTAATTTGCAAAAGGCTCTGGATCCATCACTCTCAGGAGCCACAGAATCAGAGGTCACCTGAGTGCAAAACAAGCTCAGTCCTAGCACCTCCAGGCAGGCTCTGATCTTGAGCTATAACAGTCTTTATTGTGACTGGCACTGGTAGTAAGCAACTGTCACAACCACAGAGAGGCTGTTATGGTTTGGATGTGAGGTGTTCCCAAAAGCTCGTTTGCAAGACAACACAAGAACCTTAGTGGTGAAATGCTTATAGATTATGAGACTTAACTGATCCACTGATACAGATTAACTGGGAGGTTAATGGTGGCAGGCAGGGAGGGTCTGGCTGGAGGAGGCAGGTCTGGGGGTGTGCCTTTGGGGTTTATATTTTGTCCCTGGTGAGAGGGGATCTTTCTGCTTCCTGGTGGCCAGGTTCTGGGCTGCTTTTCTCCTATACACTTTTCTGCCATGATGTTCTGTCTCACCTCGGGCCTGAACAATGGAGTCATCATCTACGGACTCAAAGCTCTGAAACTGAAAAATAAATGAAATAAAATTTCTCCTATTTCTTGTTAGGTCTTTTGGTCACAGCAATAAAAACGCTGATTAAAGCACAGACTCAGAGAGGTGGGCAAGCTGCCAGGCACCCAAGTCCCTGTCTTCTCCCGGGCATTGATGAGCAGGTGGTTTGTGTCCAGTGAGCTCGTCCTGAGCCGCTGGCCCCTCCACACAGCCTCTGCCACCCTGGAAAGGCTCCTGCTTATGCTTTGGGAGGCACCAAAGAAATTCTCTGGGTTTTTTGTTTTTCTCTTTTTGCTTTGTTGCTCAGATTTACAAATTGGAGATTCCACCAAAGATCCTAATGAAAGAAATGTCTTCTTGAAACTAACACATCAGTTAATGCAGAGAGGGGTTGAAGCCTCCACATCTGTATTCTGATTAAATCTGGATTTCTGGTTTCACTTAAAAATCAGGATATGGTCCCCCAGGGGCCTTTGGGTAGAGTGATCCACATGCCCAGGGTCACACCATACTTCAGCTAGTGCACAGTTCACCTGAGGCCCAGCCCCTGGAAGTTCCAGAGCCTCTTAAATAGATCCCTCTACTCTCCCTATGGCCTAATTTCTATAGTCTTCAAAAACTCCTCGTGGCTGCCCTATGCACAAAACCAAACTCCTGCCCACGGCCTACCAGCACACCGGGGCTCAGGCCCCTCTAGCACCCTCATCCCGGGCTCTTCTCCTGTTGCTCACTGCTCTCCACCATCTTGCATGCCTTTTATTCTGCACAAGGTGACTTCCCACCTCAGGGTCTTTGCACAGGCCCTGCCTATATACTGCCCCTAAACTTCCAAGTAGTGCTTTCTCAACATTCCATTTCTGCACAAATGTGGCCTCCTCTTCAAGGAGGAAACTCTGGCTAATGTGTCTCACTACCTGTTTCTTTCCTCAGTAGTCTTACGTCCTGGACAGCGAGCCGCATAGCAAGAGTGCCTGGGCTCCCCTCCAACTCTGTCTTCCTAACCTGACTGGCTTCCATTTCCTCCCCATCAACAGGGTTGAGCCCGCCTCCCTTGAGGGCAGCTGGGAAGCTGGAGCATTCAGCCTCACAGCAGTGGAGCAGCTCCTGGTGGGCTCCCCACACCAACAACTGCCCTGACTGCCCCTGCCGACACCTCAGCCCAGTGATGCCGACAGGCCAAACAGGCCCTCTGGTCTCTTGCTTGCGCCTTTCCTGCCCATCTGATTTTAACCAGGGGTCTCAGTTCCCTCCAGCATCTGCCAGGGAGAAAGGTGCTCTTCAGAGGAACAAGCACACACCACCTGCGTGTGCTAAAAAGGTGCTCAGGAGCCTGGCCTCAGGAGTGTCACAGCTACCAGAAGCAGTCACCCTGGGGAAGCCCCTTCCCTGAGGAAAGCTGGACTCTCCCTCCCACACTCCTTCTCCGCAGACATGCTTCTAACACGCCTCTAATGCCAAGTCGGACTCCATCGTGGGCAGCTCCACCCTACAGTGCCACAGCTGGGGTCTGGAAGGTGCCCAATGAACTGCTGCCAGCCCAGATGTGCCCATGGGCCTGTGGGGTGGCTGTGGGCATCTGCATGATACCGGTGCAGCAAGGACCTGGGAGCCATGGAGCTCATCTTTTAGGTCCTCCTGGGGACACTGCCAGGTCAGCAACCAGTATGCCTGACTTGACTGTGAAGAAATACCAGAACAAATAGATTCTGAGACGCTCCCTGAGGCATGAGTGCTCTGTCGCCCGAGCTTTGCACTCTGGATGTTTTCGCCTTCACCTTCTCAGGACAAGACCTTTCCTAACAAGACTACACCCAGGTTCCCAGAGAGCACCCAGGCCTCCTGCACCCTCCAGTGGATGCAGGTCTCCTTCCAGCTCCGACACTGCTGGTCAGCACCATGGGCCTGTTTTGTGGACAAGGCTGAGGCTCAGAGAAGTTCAGGGAGTTGCCTGAGGAACGGCAGGGATGGGGTGGGGGCTGCGTTCTGGCTAGTCCAACGTGGCCCTCTCTGAACCCTGCCTTCTGTGTGAGCCACTCCTTGGGTGTCTGGTGTTAGAGAGAGCCCATGCCCTGGCCTTGGGCTTCCAGCCTCCTGCTCGAGGGTCAGTGATGGGGAAGGGGCAGTGGGGCTGGCCTGTCCTTTTCCTCACATCTTCCTTGACCACTCAGAACAGCCAGGCCTCCAGAGCCTTGGCTCTGGCCATTGCTTTCCTGACTGGCTCTGCTGCAACCCACAGCCCTACCAGGGACTCTGGCGCTTACTTCTGTCTTAGCCAAGAGAAAATCCCCTGTCTTTGCACATAAGGCCCCTCTCCCTGGGAGCTTGTCCTACAGGCCCACTTTCCTAGGCCCAAACTTCAGGATTTGATCACCAGTGCCCTGACACCAAGTATCTCCACGTGCTGGGTTTGGCTTGTGGCCAGGCTCTGTCCCAGGCTAGGCCTGCTCCCCCTCTGGCCAGAATCTTTCCTGGTCCCTCTGCACCTCACAGGCAGGCCTGCCATGCCACCTGGCCTCCAGAGGGCAGCAGGCTCCCAATCACAAGGATATTCAGCAGGCTGGTACCCCAGTGAGCATGCAGACTCAGAGACAGGAAGGTGGCACAGCCTATAGACCTCGAGCCCCCTTTGGAGAAGGGGATCCTTGAGAATGGGACTCCACTCTTCCTGGCCACAGCTGGCCCCCAATCCAGAAAGGAAGATGGCTTTTGTGGTCATATTTGCCATTTGTGTCCCCTTGTCTCCATACACACATAGTGGAAATCCCAACAACCTGGTGTAGTGGCAGAGGAAAGAAGCCCAGAAGGTTTCCAACACCAGAAGCACAAGACAGGCCACCTGTCCAAACTCCCTTGACTCTGGGGCCCCTGGAGTGCACATGTGGAGAGGGAGATTCTGGGGGCCGCCTGTTTCTGTGGGGCTGGCGGTGTGCCTGCTCGGAAGAGGCTGTACTCACCATTGGAGCGGTGGATGCAGGTGTGCTGGTTGTCACTGAGGAAAAAGCCACTGTGGCACTGACACTCATAGCTACCCATGGCATTGACGCAGATCTGCTGGCAGCCACCATTGTTGTCCTGACACTCATCCACGTCTGTGAGAAGAGGAAGAGAAGGCAGAGAGAGATCACCACCTGAGATGGCGGGACACTGATGCCACCGATTTCTCTAGACTGTGCTGAAGGACCCCCCCCAGGGAGGACTTTGGTGCTGCCAGAGGGGCACCCCTGGGTGTGCTGCATGGTGGAGCTCACGTGGGGGTATCCAGACACATGCCATGGCATCACCGAGGCACTCCATGGTGCCACAGTTACACTCAACAACGGTGCTCTCCAGAGTGACTCCACAGAAGTAGTCAGGGACAACGGCTGTGAGGAGGAGGACCCTAGTGGTTTCCTGGGTGCCTAGCACAGCTCTGTGTCTCCCCCATATCCATCCCTCTAATCCCCCAGCAACCCTGCAGCCAGGTTTGTATATTAACCCATTTATAGTTGATGAAATGAGGGAGAGAGAGGCAAAGTCACTTGCCCAAGGTACCACATGGGATTCCAACCTAGTACACTGACTCCCAAACCCTGGCTCTCCCTGACATCACTGGATCCCCCCTCTCCAGGAAGACGATGGAGCTCAAATTGTCTCCCACAAAACACAGAGCCTCGCCGACCACAGACGGCCATCACCCCTCTGCAGCCCTCCTCAAGTTCACAACCAGCTGCACAAGACCCTGGAGCCAAGGGGAGGTTGGGGCCAGGGTGGCCTGCACCACCCTAAGGTGCAGGCTGGCAGATGGATTTTAAAAGCCCAGAAGGTGGGGAGGATTTGAAAAGACTCTGACCTCTGGCTGCTGGGACTGTCGGGGAGGCTGCTGAGAGGTCTGTCCCACCCCGGGAGGGAGGGAGGACAAACCTCAGTGCCGACACTCATTTTTGACCAGAGGCTGCTGGCACAAAGGGTGTGACTGGCTGAAAAGAGTCTTTATGGAGCTCTGGTCTGGACAGCAGCATGTTTCAATTACCGGAGCCACAGGCCCCGCTCTGTCAGTTTGTTTAATGAAAGAAGGGCTTCTTAAACCTTAATGTTCCATGGCTGTATTGTCATTTTAATAGGCAAATATATAAAACCACAATGACAATGTGAGCTACTGGCTGCTTCTAGCCAGTCCCCCATGCCCAACACACACACTCACACGCGGGCACACATGCACACACATGTATATAAGCACACGCGTGCACATGTACTTCAGCACTGAGGATTTCAGACGGTTCTAACACTGACATCGTTCACTCCTGGGACCAAAAGGATGTGAGAAAGGGAAGAGGCCGGCAGAGTGACCTTCCATGAACCTGGCACAGCGCAGTTCTGGAGCAGTGTCAGCTGGATCCTATTTAGGCCCTCGAACAGCAGAGCACTTTACCACCCAGGAGACCGCGGCTGCCTTTGAGGCCCTAGGCGAGGCTTGTCATTATTCTCTGGCAGGCTCAGATGTCAGCCGTGTGGCAGCCAGAGGAGGGAAGCAGAGCTCTGAACTCTAAAAGTCACCAGGGGTTGAGGCTCAAATGTAAAGGCGGCTCTTGCTGAGAGGCACGGCGTGATCAGACCCTAAGCCTGACAGTCTGACCCAGGGAAGCCCGGAAGGAGGGATGGGGATTCATTTTTTCAATACTTTTCTCCACACAGTCTTGCTGATGGCTCTCTGCAGGCCCAGTGCCAATGGCACCTTTACTGGGGCCAGGCCTAAGGTACGGTGAGTGGCCGACTCCCCTCCACATCTCAGTGGCATTGGCCTTCAACCTGCACATGAACAGCTCTAGGTCTGACACTTTTTCCTCCTCATCTCTTAGTAACACAAAGCTCACCTCCCCTGGGGGTCAGGATGTGTCAGGCGGAGGCTTCACCAGGACTCTCAGCAACCCATGTGACACATCTTGTTACTGATGAGGACACAAAGGCTCAGAGCCAAGCCATGAGATGGGCAAAGTGAAGGCAGGACTCAAGTCCAAGGTCTACTGTGCATGTGTTCAGACCAATGCTATGAAGAAATGGCTCTCTTCCTGCAAGCTTGAACCTGGGTGCCAACCTGAGCACATGGCTGTCAGTTCCAGGGGCAGCAGGCTACAAGTAGTACTGAGTGACTCAGCAGCATCACTGGCCCAACAGGACCCTGGAGGCACCTATGCCCGGGTAGGGCACATACGTAGCCACGGGCCTCTGCAGTTGGTTGCTGCCTCTCTTCCCGGGGCTCTCAGGCTCTCTGCCTGGTGTCCTGTCTTCCCCACCCAGGGAAAGGTTCAACTGAGAGGCAAACAAAGTAGATCCAGATTCCCCAACGCTGGACTCAGTGCAGAAATGCTGCTTTGCCCCTGGAGCCACCCATCTGCAGCCATCTGGCCTGGCCGAGCTCTGCACCTCACTGAAAGCACAAAGGGCAGTTGACGTAACACATCTACAAACCCTCAGTGACCTGGCAGGGTGGCTGGCCTTAGGGACATGGCTGTTTACACTAGCAGGGAACAATGACTCGCCAACACTGATGAATAATTTGAAACAAACGCAAGGCCATGTAAACATTTCTCTTCCTCACTCCCAAATGATAAAGCCCGAGATTAAGCAGGCGGGAAGAGGGGCTGCCCTTCTGCACCCTTTCCACTGTGTCCAAACAGGCCTCACCCTACGCTCCCTAATAGGGCCGAAAATCATGAATGCTGAGTCCCTTCAGGCCTGGGGTCCCCCTCACACCTCTTGCACCCCAAGTCTTTAGCCCTCACAAAGGACCACAGTGAGGGCTAGAGGGCAGCCAGCTGGGGTAGCTGAGCTTGTGAGATGGCTGCCCACCAGCCAGGGCAGACTGGACACTGGGAGGCCCCTATCAGGCTTAGCAGGGCACTGTGGGAAACAGTCTTTGGCTCTGACAAGTGGGAATGGGGGGATCAGCGCACCCTGCTTCATGGTCCCCCAGCACTTGGAGTACTCTGTATGAGAGGGGTGCTTATGGAGAGAAGAGGGCCCACACCTGGGAGTCAGGCTCCCCAAATTCTTCCCCTAATGCCTGAAGGCCCATGGGCAGTGACCTGCCAGGGTGACCTGGCAGTGCCTTGTCTGCAGGAAGTGCTCCAAAGCTTGGGGACCGCAAATTGTCCTCCAGGAAGCTCTCCTTGAGGGCTGTGGCATGAGCAGGCTCTTTCCTTTCTGCCGTAAATTAATTGGCTGTTGCCAGCACTGATGGGCCTGGGTGGCTGCCCCTGTGTGGGAACCCTGCCCACCCTATGCCCATACTCAGAGGTGAGCTTAGGGCTGGCTGGGTGCACTGTGGCCTTATTACCCCACACAACAGCACGCGCTGCCACCAGGCCCCAGCTCAGGGCTTGGGCGCTGGTTCGCTAAAGCACACACAGCCCCACGCTAGGGGTAGAGTTCTTATTGTTCCTGATTCTCAGAGAACATGGATGCACAGAGAGGGGAAGAGACTTGCCCATGGCCCTGTAGAGGCAGAAAGGGGATTCGAAGCCCAGTGGGCCCATACAGAGCGGATGAGAAAGTGTCCAGGCCAGTCATGGAGGAGCAGGCTGCCCAGGTGACAGTGCTAATTGCCCTCCCCTGTCCCTAAGCACTCATCTTTCCAGAACCCAGCAAGACCCTTCTGTGACTTCTTCCTAGGACTGGCAGAATTCATCCTCCCTGACTCCCAGGTCAGGTGGCATTGTTTTCTTCCTCTGCCTGGACCATAGGACCTGGCTGTCTAGTCTCTGCCCTGGATGGGGACAGACCTGCATCTCCTTCATATCTCTGCTCACAGCAGAGAGGCAGGCTGAGGTGGGACATGACATGGAAGGTCTGTGCTTGCATATGGCGGGGCCAGGGGCTCACTCCCCGCAGGCAGGCAGCCTACCGCAGTGGAGCATGTCCTGGGTCCGGGGCACATACAGGGGAGCAGTTTAGGCTACCACAGCCTGCTCACTGTTCCAGATTCTGTTCTCTGAACACGACCCCTGGTTCACACGTGCCCGAGTTCATATGAACGCCTGCCTACTGCCTTAGTCCCCCTTGCCAAAGTTTTTTTGCCCTTTTGAGTCCACCTTCAATGTCTTTGTTTGTTCATTCAGGAATAAGCACGGCACACCTACCAAAATGGATGCAGCCCCCTCCCTGGGCCACCGATGCTTTGGGCCATAGCACAGGGATCAGAGGCTTCCTGTGAGGAGGGAGGAGCACAAGGAGCTCTGTGACCTGAGGCTGGAGGAAGAGGAGGTGCTTGGAAGCAAAAGCTGGAAGAAGGGGCAGGATAAGACCCAGGGAGCGGAAGAGCCTGTGACCATTCCAGCAAGAGAATTCTGGAAGCCATTAGGAAAAGTGGCTGGCTGAGTCCTAAATCTTGGGTTAAGGTGATAAGGAGAGCCAGACTTGGCATGGAGATGATGCCACCCTAGGCTCCAGCTGCTTTGTGGCCTGTGACCCTCCAAGACTCTTGAAACACCAGCCCTATCTGGCCCTTCTCCCTTGGTTTGGTTGGCAGGGAGATATCTGTGTAGCCTGACGGTGTCACCAACCACAGAGGCTGTGGCCTGTTTCCAATTCAGGGTTCAGGATCCCTAGGGGATCTGGGCCAGCACTCTGCCTCTGAATCCTGCCGGCAGCTTACGGCCCTTTATCTTTATTTATAACCACAGAGAAAGGTTCCCAGAAGGCAGGGAGCCCGAGGCATGGGGACACAACTATAAAGCGTACTCTAGGAGGCTCCCTGCAGGAAATCCTTTTGACTGGCAGCAAAGCTGAAAGATGCAGAGTGCAGAGGACCCCAAGGCCCCAGCTCTGTGAGAGACCAGCGGGTCACCCTTCTCAGCCTGCACCTCCAGGAGTGGACATGCTCCCTCCTTTGACACATAAGCTCTCTTTTAATGTTGTGCCACCAGACCTGAGGGAGCCCCTTATTCTTCTGGGTCAGGCTGGGGTGCAGGCAATGAAGGGAGAGGAAGCTGAGCCCTGGCTGCCCCTGCCTTAGGGGTCCTCAACTGCTGGGGTTGGAGATAGCCATAGCAAGTGATGAACACTGCGGAGCCTGGGAGGGCAAACAGAGGGACCATACCCCTGGAGTGCAGAG